TCAAATTTGACCAGGTAAGTGCCAAGTAATCTTCATTCAAGCTTCAAAGAGGAAAATTTTTCCCGATTTTACTGATTAAAAGCTTTTTTTTTTAAAAAATTTTAGTGATGATTTTTCGATAACCATTGAACAAAATTTGATGAACTTTTTTTATTTTGATTCTACAAATCTATAGGATTAAAATAAAAAAAAAATTTCCGGATTTTATCAAGTAGTTATTGAGGAACAATTGCTAGAAGTAAAAAAAAACTTTCGAATTTATAAATAGGAACCGCCATTTAACGTTACACAAATCGGATGATCATCACGTGCGGGGAAAATTTCTTGGGGGTGAGGTGCAGTGTTTAAAATTGGCATGCACAAGATGCACATGTGCATGAGTTTTTTATAAATTTTTAAAAAATTTATTAAGTGTGCATATAAAATTTTTTAAAAAAAGATGAAAAAAGATGCACAAAATACATTTGTGCACATAATTTTTACTTTGAATTTTAAACACTGGTGAGGTGTATAATAATTTTTAAATCTTATCGTTAATGATTCTCTACTTGTGTTAATTTGATTTATCCCGCTAAACTTTAAAATATTAATTTTATGAGTAGTCATCCGTATTATTTTCCTAATTGATTCATTGGGAACAGGAAAAAATCATATTTGATACCTTTAATCATAAACCACCTATCACATGTAAAAAGTATTTGTTAGCTCCAATGAGAGTGACTGCCCAAAATATCAACGGCAAAAAATTTAATTCATTTGCAGCTAAAAATATGTTTATCTTCTCGTAATTGTATGGGTTTAGACCTAAATGATCAGGAATCACCAACTTTATCTTTACACTGACGCTCTTATAATCGACATTAGTAATCTTTTTTTGCGCATAATACTTTACCATTTGGTGAGATCAAAGTCCTATTGATTGATGGCCTCACATAATCACAACGCCTTATAGCAAAATCAAGGTATGATACTTTACAGAGGCTTAAATGAAATTGTAGCGGGTTTATATTATGGGTTTGGTCGACCAAATTCGTATATTTCTCGATCAAATTCGTGACGTTACACGAACTTTCATTTTGATCCATCTTTGATAACTCGCGATCTAGTGATCGGATGGTGGTGATTTTAGTACCATTCGAATCGTCTCATTGAGATGATTCGAATGGTACTAAAATCACCACGCTTGATCACTAGATCGCGAGTTATCAAAGATGGATCAAAATGAAAGTTCATGTACGTCACGAATTTGATCGAGAAATATACGAATTTGGTCGACCAAACCCATAATACATTACAAATAATTAATGATAAAATAAAAACTTTATAATCGACGAAAATGCGATCATTTTCAACACTGCTAATAATGATTATAGCAACTGTATGCTTTCACATTCACAGTACATAAAACACAAGGATTAACTATACCCAATATTTTAGTAGCAATCAATAAACAAATGTAAACCAATCTAACAGTTATTACTGAATATGAATGATTAAATTTCATTACATAATAACGACTTATACAATTTTTTCAACAACCTCAGTATACATTCCATTCTTATATAATTATCCTTAACTACTATTGGGTTTCAGAATTAACTTATTTTGAAAATAAGTGGGTGTTTGAAAAGTCCAATTTTCGGTTTGAAATTTCGAATATCAGAGAATGAAAAGGTGTTGTCCGGAAATAAAAACTTTTTTGATCATGTGTATTATATCTTATTATATAAATAGGCTTGCAAATAAAAGTAATTAGGATTTATAGATTGCTGATTACAAAATTAATACGTCATTAATTTAATTCGAAATTAGAACCTGAACCTTAAATCCGAAACCCCTATTACTCCATTTGGTCACTTTCGACTCGAAAATATATAAATTATGCTAAGCATTATTTTCTTCATATTCATAATTTTATCTTATCTATGAGCTTCAAACATATTCATAATTTTATCTTATCTATGAGCTTCAAACATATAAACTGTAACTAATTATTATAAATAAATTCTATGTCGCTATTTTAACCAAAACTATCTTACAATTGATTTCCGTAGATGATAATAATATGAACTTTGATATTTAATTAATGATACCCATAAGTAACTGTATAATTAGCGGTATTTTATTTTAATTTTATTATAGCTATTAAAAATGCCCGCACCTTTAATTTATTGAATGTATAAAATTGTTAGATATGAGAATCTCCGTTCATTGCTTCGAATATTTTATTAGTTTAAAAAATCGTAAATAAGGTATTTGTTTGTTATCTAAAGCCACATCATGTATTCTAACCGGGTGTATCGAATTATTCTTTATTACTGTGCGGCAATTATTATTATAAAAAAGAAAAGACTTAAAATCTGATTTATCGTTAAATCAGCACAATATGAAAAAAATTAATGAGATGAATAGGTTATTTCAAAAACTTCAACTAATAAATGATACTAAATAAACTTGAATAAGAAATGAATTTAGAATCGACCCACAAATTAAATCAGCATAAACAAGGAAAAATTAATAAGGCAAATAGGGGGTGCTTCGCATAGTTAACTATGTAAGCAGTATATGATTGATGAAAAAAATAGTAAGTTGAAGTGGATATGAATCAATCAAATACAAACTCTAATCTTTGTACTAATTGTAAGTATTGTAACTTTGAGTTCAAAAAAAAATCGTAGGAGTTCTATACCATAATTAGGGATGGAATCGGTCACGAACGGTCAAAATTTTCATAGCCAATTTGCTAAATACTGAGATGATTTTTTACTTTTAATTAGAGTTGTTAAGAATTAAATTCTGGTCATACCAAATTATAAGCAGAAAGAGCGATACCTTCAATGGAACTCGGTATTTCAAAATTTGTAACGTTATGACCGGTCATTAATCGACGGTAAATGACCGGTCATGACGTATAAATTTTGAAATTCCGTGTTTCAGTGAAGGTATCGCTCTTTCCACTTATAAGATGGTATGACCAAAATTTAATTCTGAACAACTTTAATTAAAAGTAAAAAATCATCTCAGTATTTAGCGAATTGGCTATGAAAATTTTGCCATTCGTGACCGATTCCATCCCTAATCATACTGTATATTATGCACATTACGTAACATATTGAACATTATGTAGATGGTATTCATGATTATTGATGCAGTAGAAACTCAAGACATCAGGATGTGCCGAAGTGTAGCTAAGTTATAACAAGTTATAACTTTTATTTTAAAAGTTACGGTACTTCGTAACATTTGCATGTGTATATAAATACAGTTCTATTATGTCGTAACTATTTTATGTGTCGTAACTGGTAAATTTATATACTGTAACTACACATTTTGAATCGATACATTATCTGATAATTTTCGAGAATCGAAATGTTGATACTGCTCAGCATTATTATTAAATTCGGATACTAAAGAGGTTGCCTCTTAGTTAATGTTACTGACATAAGTTTATTTCCTTTCATGACTTAGCTATTACAATAGCCGCTTACATTAATTTACATATATTGAAGTTATACTATAAATAAAAGTAACGTCATTGATTAACTAACTATTTTTACAGTATAATGGGACTCCTACGGATTTTACCGCAACCGTGACAGTAACTTGTCGTATTTCAAAAAAATTCATTGAGATACTGTATCACTATTCTTGATAGAATTCCATACAAACATGTTTTGGCGTGAAAATTTTTTTAGTTAAAATAGGCAATGTATCTAAAGGAATTAAAGGTGTTAGGAATTGTTACTGGAAAATCTTACCCAGGAATAAATTGGTGGACATCACTCCCAAAGGTATTATGTAAACAAACTTGCAAGCCTGTTTGGGAATTTTAGTTAATTGTAAATATAAAAACTAAATTATGATTAAATTTTTTGGTGTTCTAATGGAAATGATAGTTATTACCAATGATTTATTAAAAAGAAAAGAGTAATTTGACTCCTGATTACCAAGGATTTTAAAGCATTGTTTTTTTCCTTTGATTATTAAAATGAGCAGTTTTTTTTATAAATCATAGAGTGCTAAAATTTTGTTACTTCTACTGTAAATATGCTTCTTCAAGGTTTCTTACGTTCATTATTGATGAATTTGGTTTTTAACGTTTATTATTGCGTCAACGATTACTTTTGGAAAATCTTGGCTAGAGATGAATAAATCCACTAACTGAGCTAGCAAATGATGGTGCCGGTGCTATTAAAGCATTTATAGAAAATACGTACGTACGTACGTCAAAACTACTTATGCATGAAGGTGTGTTACAAATGCCAAGTAAATCCTATTCGATTTAGATACAAGTAATCTAAAGAATATCTATAATACCTATGTGGAAAGATTTCAAAACTAGTGATTTGACCCGAGAAAAAAAATTCAACGAAATTCTTAAAGTCAACCGTTACAACCGGTTGTGGTCACAGATAGGATTCGAAATGGACCAACACAACTGAGCTAAAAAAAAAAAAAAACAATAGGCTGCGTCAATCTTTGTTTTAAAATTAGACCTTTCTGAATCCCAAGTTCGGCTCACCAATTTATGAAAACTTTTAATTTAATAAAATTGACCAGTTTACTTCATTTCTATGATAATTATACTCGCAACAATTGCACTATGTATTACAATTTGAAATTTCTAAGCAAGCTAGAATACTGCCACTAATGCCCATGTCTTAATATATCGTATTAATTCAAAAACACGTAACCTCAATTATGCCATTACTAATCTACGTATTTTGCGAAAATCGAGCGTGATTTCATACTGTAAAAATTTAAACTTTTCACAAATGTATTTATTTCCAGGATACTGATATATATACGTGTAAAATAGATCAATTTTATTTCCAGAATACTGATATAAATCAAATTAAAAATCTTTTGTTGAGATTTTTATTAATTTTTCAGATAGAAAATCATAAATAATATGAATTATAAACATAAATAGGACAATTAAATATATATATATATAATGCACTAATTTACATGACACGGCCTTATAACTATAACTATAATTAATCAGCATGATATTGCGCAATAAAATCGAAATTTTTTCCATTCGATGAACAAACTAATTTCCAATCTCCCTTTTGATCAATTGTCGTTTCAAGTTCATAGGTAAAACTTCCATCCTCACATCTAGATGCTTTATAGAGTTTTCGAGGATTTTTGTCTGGAGATAATAAAGAGAATTCGGGATGTTCTTCCTCTTTTAAATCAAATACTGAGAATTCAAATTTATATTTTTTCTTGTATTTTAGGCCAAAATGAATTGGCGCTTGAATGGTAAATTTGAATGGAACCTTGTAGGTCTTAACAATTGAACTATAATTTTTACCGCTTCCTTTGTTTATGACTTTGAAA